AATTTTGTAAAACACTAAATTAAAACTTGATAACGAAAAAAATTTTGTCAAAAAATTTTGTTATTGAATTTGTCAAAAAAACGAAATGTTGTATCAATTTCTAATACCGATAATATCATGAATTTGTATTGCAAAATTACGAAATAAATTTTTTTCGGCGGAAGTTAAATTTATCCATATTCTATTTGCCGATAGCCCAATAACTTTGCTATTGGTTACATTTATTAAAAAACCTTCTTCGGAGATTCTTTTTTTAAATATATCGTAAGCCGTAATGCGTTTTCTCGTATTTGTACGACGTGAAATTTGAATATGTGAATGTATATTAACTTGAAAAATTCTTTGAAAATTTGTCGGATTTTGAATATGAGTAACAAAATCATTTGTTTGATTAATAACGAAATCATTTATTTGATTCATAATTTCTTACGAACTTAAGTGAATAAAAGGTGGAATGATTAAATGGCGTCTGTTCTATTTATATCAAAAATTTAAAGTTTGTTACATTAATTAGGTTATGTTTCTAATAGCTTCAGTTAATTAATTATTTGTTGAGATGATAGTAGATACTGTAGATAACAAAGAAAATAATGTATTTGCTTAGTAAATCAAAATAACTGATGAGATCTGTGCTAAATATCTACGAACAATATAATATATTTTTTTTCGGGCGATTGTGTAAACATTAACCCCTAATTACTATCATGTGAACAAAATTTACTGGTGCTAAACAAATAGAATACTATATATTAGTGTAAAAAGTTACCGATTTTTCAATTTTGTAAATCAATTAGAATTTCGTCAATGACTAAAATGTATGACTCATCAATAAAAATTTATACGCGATATACTGTATTAACAAGATAGAACTGACTATGAGAATAAAATATGTAATCCTTATTAGGTAACGATAAGAAACCACTTGTAATTATATGATTGACAACTCATACTTGTTTTCCAATTTAAAGAAATGAAAATCCGGAAATATTGAAATATTGCACGATTGAAATTTTTCTTAAAGTAAAGTGTATTATTAATAAATAGATCAGATCGATGTATTGCAGGCAGACCGATCATATTCCGCAGTGATAAATTTCGATTCCGTCAGTCATTTATTTTGTCGGGATTTTCCGAAAGTATAGTCTTAGAATTGTGTACATATAATAAATGAATCCCTAGATTCTACGATAAATTACGCGCTATTTTTGCTACGTTCCGTATTTAAAGTACAGTACAGTACAGTACAACCTGATTCCGTAATTTCTGTGACATTCAAAATGCAGAGAATCGGCCATGTTGCAGATCAATCGGATGTTAATCATAACTTACTAATCCGTTAGAATCAGTATATACCGATACATAATTAATTGTTTAATTACAGTATTTTATTTACATTTATTATTTTTATTTATTTATTATTTATTATTATATTATAAATATATATTCAGAAAAGTAAAATAAGGACTTTACAATATGTAATATGGTACAATAGGTAATATTTCGGTCACCTAGTTGTTCCGTGCTCGAGATGTCAATTAAATATGTATATCAAGTATTTCAAGAAATAAGTGCTCAGAGAAGAATAGCGCACGGTTTTTAATCAATGCTCAGACTCATTCTCTGCCTATTATTTCTCAGATTATCCCGATTTGGAGTTGAAATTGATTTGAGAATTAGATGCCGGAGAAATGACTGTCGGGAAAATTATATAAATCCGATAAGAATGTACAAAGATTGTGTAATGTCAATAAAAATACCGCGACTTTTTTATTGGTTAAAAAATACTTCTTACATTTATTTTATCTGAGAAACAATCATAGATCCAAAATCAGAAATTGATGTTCGTGTCGAATTGTATCGATATGAACATCCAGAGTCTTATGATCCAAACAAGTCATATTTTTGACCTTAGGTCCTGGCCTCAAATTTAAATACACGACAGGGAACTTAGAGTCCCATGATCAAATAAAGTCTTATTTTGACCTAGGACCGATATCAAATTTAAATACACGACAGGGAACTTAGAGTCTCATGATCAAATAAAGTCTTATTTTGACCTAGGTCCCGACGTCAAATTTAAATACACGACAGTAAAATTTAGAGTCTCATGATCCAAACAAACCATATTTTGTCGTTGGTCCTGATGTCAAATTTACGCACTATCGGCTTTTCCGAACAAATGGAGAAAATATGTTTCGAAATTTTAATAAGGGTTTACACATTTAGTAAGGTTATATCTTCAATGAGTTTTTTTCAATCTTCCTTGATTTGTGAATCGGTGAAACAAGTAATCATACACAATCAGAAATGCAGCCTCAAAGCATTAGTTCATAACATGCTATCTTTATCGTGCAATCATACTTAATAATTTAATTATATATATTTATAATTGAATTACAATTTATTTCAAGCCACTTAAAATTTAAATCGGTGCTTGACTGTCAATTTTTCTTTATTGTGATAAATAAAGATTTATAAAAAAAAATCGAATAATAGATGAATTGCATTTGCTTAAGGCTGATGCTTTAGATACTTACAGATTATCAATTTGATCTTAATTTGGCCATAATTCAGAGTCATTTTTTTGATTGGTTGTTTAAATGTTTAAATACATCTTTGATTTAACATTTATGTA